TGTCTTTGTTACTTAATTTAAGTTTAAAAATTTGTAAAATTTGTTTCTTGAAGTTTTGAAAGTTTTAATGAATTTAACCCTTATAAAATTTTTAAAATTTTGTTTTATAATTTTCCAATATTTTAAAATGATTAAACAATTTGCAACTAAATGAAATCGTAACAAAAACAATCAAAGCTCTGATGATGGACATATTTAACACTAACTAAAATACTTAAATGTCGTTTATATATAATTTTAATTAAATTTGAAGATACTTTAAGTTACTTTTACTTCTCCCTTTTCCACTGCCCGACTAATGACACTTTCCCAACGTTAGCTTTAAATAAATCCAGTCCTGAGCCCCGCCAGATAGTGCAAATAATAATCACATTAAATTAGAAAATTTCTGCTTTCATAATTTCTGTTCATTTCGCCTGCTGCCACGCCCCTTTTGGCACACACAAAAAAAAAAATAGTGCGGAAGGGAGCCCTAAATCCGGCTGCCAAAAAAGCCCCGAGGCATATTTGCAATTGCTGAAAACGGCAACTGTTTTTCCGACCCAAAATCTAGTATATACTTCGATCACTCGAAAAAAAATTAAAGAACCAAAAGAAAAAAGAGAGATAAATTTTCCAGGTACAAGCTTTATCGTGTTGCTTTCCAATGTAGTTTCAATTATAAAACCGAAATTTCCAAAATTAATGAAACATCTGGTAAGGGTCCAAGGCTCCTTAGACATTTGGCATTGGAGTTTTGTGGCAGCTGCCGAATGAAATCGGCATTCGGAATGTGAAATATTATGGCTGGCACACACAATAATGGCGCTGATGCCCGGACTTGAGCTCATCCCCGGACCAGACCATTATTTCATTCATTTTTCCCGCAATCGGAGCGAAGGAAATCATTTTTGGAGCATCATAAATTGCATCGCTTTCGGGCGGATGCCGGGTTGCAGCTCTCGAACGCATCCGACTGAAAATCAAAATGCAATCAAATTTATGCATAACAATATTTGGCGAGCTCAAGGACTCTGGCATTGTTTCGATTGTATGCGAGTGTTTCGCAAATTACACCCAGGACTCGGAGTCCTGAGTCAGTCTGGCACATCAAGTGTGCCGTTTCATGTGGGATTTTGTGTGCCTTAAATCGATGAAACATGAGCATGAACATGAACATGAGGTGGGTTTTTGGTTGTAATGCAATTTGTTGCTGCCTTTTGGCTACAAGGAAACCATCATAAAAAAATAGCTCTGTGATTGGCTATGATATTTTAATCAGAACACAAAGATTCTTAGACCCTCCCGGCCTATGGCTTCAATTTCTCTGAATTCATTTTTGACACAATAATTGCCATTGAGTTTTTTTCTATTAATTCAAATTCAATTTCAACTTCAACTTCTAAAAGTGAATACTGTAGAGCGTAAAGCGGCTTATTACAGGATTTTATTTTATATTTTAAGAAGCTCATTAGGTGGACTCGTCTGGCTGTTATTTAATTTATATTGCCGTGAATTTATCTTGGCTCTGCGATATGGGCCAAGGATATACCCATATATATATCCACCCGGATCCTTGCCCATTTCCTTGCCAAATGATTTGGCCGAAAGCCAACATCAGCTGCAAAACTAACAAGAAACATACGAGAAATGCGCAATTTCAAATTGCACAAAACACTGGGAGTGAGGGGGAAGTCCCCATATCCTTTTTTCCCATGCAAAATGCGCAATCCACCTCATACTTCTCCTCATCCCTCCATTATTTCCCTCTTTATGGCGTTTGGCATCCGCCGCATAAAATCAAAATTAATTTGCTAATAATGTTGTCGTAATTATCTAATTGCCTTCGCAGGAGTGCAGGGGAGGGGAGAGTGCGGAGTTTCTCTACTCGCTTATTGGTGCAAATTAAACAACAAATTCATGAACAGTGAAAAAACCACACGAAATAATTACAGACTGCGCGTAATGACTAAACCAAACACATTTAACTTGCCATCGTCTGGCACTCGCCGAGACCTAAATACCCTTTCCCTTTTACAAGTGAAATGTTATTACATTAATATCAAATTTGATATGGTATTTATGGAGTGTAATTCTAATTTTATGTTATTCTCTGTCAAATAAAATAACACAAAAAAAAAGGCACACAATGTTTGCCAAAATCTGCTAGGCTTTTAATTATATTATATAAATAGGCTTAAATGAGCGCAAAAATTGGCAAACAAATCGATGAGTTTTAGGTAATTATACAATAATAATAATAGTTGTAATACAAATTGATAAGGTTTACAAAAACTTTAAAATTAAATGCCAAATTTAATACATTTCTGATGTGAATATGAGTAATTATTTAATTAATATTAATCAATATGTTTTTGGGATAATCGAACTTGAAACATAACTCAATGAAAACATTTCTTTTTTTTAATTCTGAAAGCTTGATTTTATAGGTTTTTATATGTATCAAAATTTGTAAAATTAAAATGCTTTTTAAATTTTTTATAATTTTAATGATGTAACTCCTAATAATATGTTTAAAATAATAAAATAAATTTGTATTTCATAATTTGTCAATATTTTAATTTGACGAAATAAACATTTAGTTGCAAATCAGTATATTTATGACTTCTAGCAATCAATTTCGTTTTGATCGTCAGATGACCCCAAAGAGAACTGAAATATTTGAATTTCTTAAATATATATTTACTGTTATTTAAAGCCCTTAATTTAAAAGTTTAAAATATCCTAACTAAGCCAAAAATGCATTTATTTCAACTCGGAAAGCTTTTCTATGTTAGTTTTAATAGAGTTTACAAATATGCATATTCAGATTTAAAATTTAAAAAACTTAAATTTTTTGTCAAATTTTGACAATTTAACCATGTAACCCCTTATAAAATTTTCAAAAAATAAAAAAATTTTGTTGTGCCAAATAATGGCTATAAAGATTGGCCTGTTGATGCTGATCAAGAATATATATGGTTTATAGGGTCGGATCACTAATTTTTAAGCCTCTGACTGAAACTATAATCGTCTTTAAGGGTGTAAAAATAATAAATGAATTACTTATTAATTAAGTTTAAACTCCTTAAACGGTATACATGAAACTATATCTCAGTTACTAAATAAATCACTGAAAGTAAGACTATTTTTAGATATTTAAAGGAAAGATTATCCGGGTTCTAGAGGACAATGGTACGTATATGTGATATTCTATGTTGGTTGGAGTGATATTACGTATACGTAATATTTAAATTGGGTTGCAAATTTTAAAAAATCCGTAGCTCAGCCAAAAATGCATTAATTTCAATTCGGAAAGCTGTTCTGTGTTAGTTTTTGATAGGTTAATAAATCTGCATACTTAATTTACAAATTTAAGTGTTTGTAAATTTTTGAAAATTTTAACGATGTAACTCCTTTACTTTTTTTTTCAAGTAAATGAAAAATATCAGAAAAAATTTTTTTTGTGCCGAAGATTGCTAGAAAGATTTGCCTGTTGATGCTGATCAAGAATATATATTATTGATAGGGTCGGAAATTATAATACCTAACGAGGGTCTAAAATTATATACATGTTAGTATCTTGTATATATTATATATGGAAAATTATATATTTTATACATGGTAAATTTATTATCAACTATCAGTAACAGACCTTGACTCTATTAAGTTTTAGTATTAAGTTAAAAATTAAAATTCTTCTTCTTTGGAACTGCATCAATTTTGGATTCTACAAATAGCAGGGCATTATTCCTTCTTCTAAAAGTCCTTAAATTTCTAGAATTATGTAGTCTAAACTCTACCAAAAATCAACCTTCGATGGCAGACAGTAAGCTGCCAAAGTAACTACCTAAAAAACGATTTGAGAATAATATAAAATCCCTTCTTCGTTTAATGCTAATCCGATATATGGCCAGGAAGGCGATTTAGTCCATTTTTTCCCTCAGTGTTTTGAGTGTGTGTCTGTACCCGTTACAGGAAATATGAAAATGTGCCGGGGAAAAAGGGCGATTAGTAGTGGGGAGTCGTCTGCTAGCAAAACGCTCCATTTGCCAATCATTCGAAATATTCGATTCCAATTTGCATTTAAACATGCAAAAGCCAGGCCAGATGGAAAACTCAATGCCTCTCCGCTTATATATAGTATATGAGGGCAATGGGGACACACACAGAGTCAACACCAATCCCGGGACCAGAGGAGTTTTTGGAATCCAACTGAATACTCAACTCGAATGTGAATGTGAATCCGAAATCCCAAATCCTGAATGGCAACCCGCACCCGGCATTGTTTCGCACCACAGACCACGGGCGGCGGCGGAGTCGGCGATGTCAACGTGCCGAAAACCCATGGAATTCTTTCTTTCTTTTTGCTGCCGGACCCCCCAAAATGCGATGCGTTTGTTGATTTGTCACGGGCATGGTCCTCATTCCACTCCCGGACGATGCGAATTAAGCGTCGCGTAATTATGGCCAACAGTTAAGAGCCATGGCCAGCAGAGGAGTGGCAGGCCCTCAAAGATCGGGGTAGTTGCTCCCAAAAAAGGCAGAAAGTTACCAGGGGCTTAGTCGCATTTAGGCACAGAGAGAAATATATCTAGAGAGTTTTAAGGGGAAATTGTTAGAAAATTGGGTTTAAGTAAAGCTATTTTATTTAAAGGTCTAAGCTCTGCTTTCTTTGATAAGATAATTTAATTAAGAGTTCTGTTAGCTATACTTTTTGCTCAGTGTTTGAGCCACATTCGATTTCAATTTGGCATTTAAATTGTGTATTGTAGAGGCTGGGAGACAGTCTCCGACTGTAACTGCCCCTGTGCGTGTGAGCTGTGCGTTGCGTAATCGAGCCACAGGCGGGGTCTCAGCCACACACACCCCAAACACACACTCACCCCCCAACAGATGAGTCAAATCGATGAGTAAACGCGCAATTAGGCAGCCCAACAGTCAGTTGGGGCTTCACTTTTGGGGCTTCTCACCTAACCCAGAACCACGACTAAGTGCTTTTCCTCTCTCTGTATTTGCAGGTGTCTTGGGTGCGGCATAGGGACATACACCTGCTGACGGTGGGTCGCTATACGTACACCTCTGACCAGCGCTTCGAGGCTATGCATTCGCCCCATGCCGAGGATTGGACTTTAAGGATCCGCTATGCACAGCGCAAGGACTCTGGCATCTATGAATGTCAGATATCGACTACACCCCCCATTGGACACTCTGTCTATCTCAACATTGTGGGTGAGTATATAGCATACTTCCATTACCTTTTTCCCCTGTATCACATGGCAAGTTTTAATAAGAGTCGTGTAAGTTTTATTCCGACTTGGTCTTGGAATTGGAGAAAAGCCAGTGGGCCTCCCTTTTAGCTGTCCCCATTATGGTATTAATTCCCGCAAACACGCCCCGCACAATCCAAGTTAATAAAGCGAGTCGTTTCGCTTTCCCCCCTTTTTCCGGGTTGCGTTGCCAATTTGTATGCCAGGCACACGACAAGCCCCCATATCCTAACTTCTTGCTACTCCTTCCCACATCCTTTGCGATCGTCCTTGCCTGAAACTGAAGCTGTAACAGGAACTTTTAGTTGGCTACGTGTGAGTGATTTGCCAACTACTTTGATGTTTACACTGATATCTAATCTGGCGGCAGGCGTTCCCCTGCTCCCTGCTCCCTCTGTTGACCACTTGATGGGGTATCTATTTCCGGGTCTCCATTTCAGCCACCTTCCCATCCGCATCCTCATCCGCATCCTCATCCTCATCCTCATCCGCAGCATCCGCACACCGCGCGTTGGTTGGTGTGTTGCGCACATGTTTGTGTCGTTTTATGGCAGCTTTTTGCTGTTTGATGATTCCCCTGGGCAACATTTGCACTTTATGGCTTTTCACAGGCCTCTCCACGTCCCTGCCCCTCCCTCCACCCAGAGACACACCACATGATGATCTGAGAGATCCAAAGACGAAGGAGATGGAGTAGAGTGGCTGCCTTGGCTCATAAATCACATCTTAGGCGACTTGAGGAGATGCGGCAAAGAAGGAAGCGTTGCCTTCTTTTAGGCGCCGCAAACTAATGACACGACACACACAATCTTTTGCGTATTTTAGATTTACTTCAGGTCAGGCCGCAGCTGCGGTTTTTTGTTTTTAGAAAAAGTTTGAGACTGCCTTGGAATAGTTTTTAACAAAAATAGTAACTTGTTTCGAAAGATTCACAGAGATCAAAGAGCCGGAAGCCCAAGCTAAGCTAAATATTGTCCTTTTCCTCTACATTTTTCTGCTTTTCCCTCTTTGTTATATATATTTCCTCTACTCCCTCTTCTGGGTATCACATTTAAATAAAAATGTCCCCCGTCGACACTTTTCAATGTATAATTTATTTTATTAATTGTTGGAAAAATTACGAACGACGCCTGCTTGGGAAAACGCGTAGGAAAACACTCACTCACACACACAGAGAGAGAGAGAGAGAGAGAGAGGACCAGGGCAACAACAAACAAATATGAAAATAAATAATGCAAATTTGTTTATTTTTCACACTGTCACAATATTTGAATAGAAAGCAAAGCACACAGAGAAGCACAGGACTCGGGGCCAAAAGTTGCGTAAGGGGAGAGAGCAGGACATGGACTCGGAATCGGAATCGGAATCAGAATCGGAGCAGGAGCAGGAGCAGGAGGTTGAGGAAGAAGGACGAAAGGACGAACATGTGTACGGTTGCATGAGGCAGACTATAAACATAAACCAAACCATTATTATAATGTCAACACAAACACACATAATTCCACTTTCAACACTTTGCCTCCGGGGTTCGAGTGGGGTGTCTACTATGCTATAGAGAGGGGGGATATGGATACGGATACGGATAGGGGTTACAGGACACGCAGGAGCAGGAGCTGAAGCAGGGAACTAGTAAACTAGGGAACTAAGATCCTTGGGGGGGCGTGTGGGGTAACTGTACAAATACATTTGCGGCTGTTTGTCTGAGAACCGGGCGAATTTCCTGCCCAGTTTGAGACTCCTGATTCTAATATGGATTCAGGTTTTGGCTTATGGTTCGAACTATGGAATGGTTATCATACACTGAAAGGAATATTTGAGGACTTTGCAGGAATAAGACATTATAATTAGGGTTTTAAAATATTTAAATTAACTATAAGTAAGGTTGTAAGACTATTTAAAACCTAGAATAATAATAATTTAATAGATATTCCAAAACCTATAGTTATTTTTCAAGTGTCTCCCTCATGTCCTGCGGCTCCTGCTCGTGGTGTTAGTTAATAGCGTGGGGCAAACGTTAACAATCGTCGTCCTTGTTTTGCCAAAATGCCAGCAAATAAAGTGAGTCCGTCTGTCAGGACGAGGAGGAGGAGAAGGATTCATTCTCAGCATTTGTCAGCGACGACAGCCATGAAATCGGTTGGCGCAGGACCTTCAAGGAATCGGCAAAAGTTATTGGGTTTTGTGCGGTGCGACATGCGATATGCCGAAAGCCAAATAATTCAAGTCAATTTCCTGGACAAGCCAAGGCATTGAATATTAGTGTGAACGCAAAAGGGGAGGGTCCTGTCCCGTCAACTAATAGACACAATACGTTAAGGATATGCAGGAGTTGCTCACTCTTAAAGCCCAAAGGATAAGGATATGAATTCGAGTTGAGAAATTTATAAACTATAATATTTCATGGCAATTTCCATGCTCAACACTTTCGTTTATTGTTAGTTTTTTTTGGGCTTTTTGGGGAAAATCCGCTTAGCGAGCGTCCAGGGAAATGGCAACGGAAATATTAGGCTCAACACAAAAAAGCAAAGCTTAAACTGCGAAACAATTCCCACTCTCTCAATGATTATCAAATGTGCAATGATTTTGCACCACTGAAACCCGATTCGCATCGATTCGCATCGAATCTCATCGAATCTCATTCGAATTGAATCGAATAGAGTGCCGTCGACCTGTCCAATGCCATATATAATATGCATTGTGTTTGGGCGTTTGCGGTGCATATTGAATATATAATGCAGTGCTGACAGATTCTGGCTTTTGCATCCTGTCAACTGCAAGCTGTTTGCCAGGACCAGGACCAGGGCCAGGACCAGGACCAAACCAGACCGGTTCCTGCCGCCTTTTGTCCTGATTGTTCGCTCGGACAGGCGGAGTCAATCAATGGACAAAAGTCGATTTCACAATTCGCCACTCGCATTTGGCATTCTCTCTCATTTATATATGCGTGTGTCGATGGCAAGTTCATAAGCCGTCGCCCAATCAACTATTGAATCGATGAACCGTGTACGTGCCATGAACCATATCCTGCCACGTCATTGTCCTGCTGGCCCCATTGTTACGCCCCATTCCGCCGGAGTGCTTATTGCGTTCCCCCCGGCTGGGGGACCGATTTGCCATTTCAATTGGCCAGAACTTCAAAGTACCAGCCCAAGTACGCGGCCCAACTAATTGGCTTAAAAGGTCACAATCCGAAACAGAGTCATTATAATTAAGAAATGAATCAAGAAATTGTCTAGCTGCGAGAAATTTCTTAAGGCAAAAATATCCTTTATAAAAATGGAAACTTTTCTTGTATTTTTTTTCGATTATCAGATATCGTATGGCACTCTCTCTCTCTGTCTCTGTGTATTTACGTTGACGGTATCATTAAATCGCGCCTCGTAGAACAATGGCGACAACGGCAACAAATTTTATTACCCACAACCAGCGAAAAGATGAAGGTCGTCCTTGCTTCCTGGTCCCTGCTCCTGAACTTTGGGACAATTCAATTGAAAAGGCATAAAGGTTTATGAGCGTGTAAGCCTTTGCCATTTCTGAGCCTCAACTTTGGTCTCAGTTTCAGTTTTTTTTTGGTAGGAAGGGAGCTCCTCTAACTGGGTGCTTGTGTGATGTTATAGGTGGCATTATGTTAACCTTTACGGCGGCAAAGAAAAACATATAAAAAAGCGTACAAACAACGATACCCAATAGGGAGTATAGGGATTATCAAGGCAGCAAGGATATATATATCAAGGCAGACAAGAAGGATAACTTGTTTTGTAGTAAGTAGAGTCAAGGAATTTGTTCTACAGGGAAAATATGATATTAAAGAGGATCTATTAAATAAATAAATGCAATTACAAGTCAGTTTCAATTAAGTAAGACTAAAATTACATATATTTAAATTGTTAGACAAGGCTATAGATTTATTTAACGAATATTTAAGTAATAATGTATAGTTAAAGACTTGTTTTAGACCTTATAATGCTTTAAATATATCAAGAAGTCAATGTTCCTAACTACTTAAACTCAGGTAAGTGCTGGTTATTGCAATTTAAGCCCCTTAAAACGATGATATATATGAGCATAAATGTCACATCAGGTTTGGGAAATAAAAAAGACTCTTTAAGGGAATCCTAGACCTATTAAAAATCGGCCTGTAAACAACCCAAAATCGAATTGGGAGGAAAGGCAACAGCAACAGCCTTTGTGAATGATTTTCTTCTTTTTATTTGTATTTTTTTTTTGGGAACATACACGTTTGATAGCTTTTATTTGTATTTTTATTGAAATTTATTGTTTGATTTACAGCACAAAGGCGGCAACACATTGCGGCATTTACATTTTTGGGGGTTGTTTCGGTATGTTTCTGTGCGATATTATCCTTCCATACATATCCATACCCATATGTGTGTGTTTCGGGACTGCCCTTTGGCCATAAATCACATTCGAAAGCCCGGCATAAAAGTTGCAAATTAGGCTCAAATGTTGACATGGCGATTAATCAAAGTGCAAGGCGCAAATGCAGCAACTAATTCGATAAGGCCCAGTTGAAACGGAATGTTGCGAGGCGATGTCCTGGAGTGGAGCCAATGCCGAGATAAGGAGTCATGAATCATTCATAAGCGCCACTTACACACACACACACATCCCAGAGACGACTCGCAATTATGGTGATTATCGAGACGAAGGTATTATGGAGGAGTCCCTTTGAGGTCCCCCTTTGGCAGTTTGGTCACGCACTTTGGGCAGACCAAGGATAGTTGAGGATATCTAATTTATTTGCTTGTTTCAAGTGCAAACTTAAGCTGGCTCCAAATTCAAGCAATTAGTCACATCAACCAGGAGTTACTATCCCTTTAACTCCAATCAGCACATAAAACTTTTAAAAAATCAGCAAGGATAATCGGTTTGGAAAACTCCCAGGAGCGCATGACCAGACTGTGTCTTGGCCAAATTAAAAATGTAGGGGGAGGGAAAAAA